GACAGCACGAGGGAAAGAGAGAGACGGAAGAGGGGATGCTGCAATAGTCGATTAACTTTTCTCTCTCCACAGTTGTGTCAACAGACGTGGCCTTTATGTCAAGTCAAGTGTGTCATTTGAGCAAAGAGAACATCGCTTAAATAACCATTCACACGGTGCCTGTGAGTGTGTGTGTGTGTCTCCTTCCAAATGTGAATGATCAGCAACTTTTTAATTCAACAGTAAAAAACACTCTGGAGATAAGCCCACTGAAGCCATCTAACTGCTACTAACTCAAATTGTGCACATCCGAAAAGTGACAACTACCTTTTTAGCGGCTAATGTGAAGTCAGGCTGTTGAGTTCAGTAGTTATGAACACATTAAAAAAATAAATACACACACTAAAAAGCTGTCATCAGTGAGGAACTTACTTTAACGTCTTGTAATTGAAGGTCATGAAGATGTTTACGAGTCACTAAGAGGCCATTCTCCCAAACTCGATATAGTCATTCAAAGAAAAGCACTTTATGGGCTGACCTTTGCTGATCATAGCTGGACTCCTTCCTGCGGCAGTGGAGAGTCACCACTCGGTGGCCTTCGCTCCTCACATCTTGACTAACTATCCACTGGGTGGGGTTGCTGGGGCGAGCGCCGAGGAACGTCACGCCTTCTTTTAACTTCACTCTGCGGAGAAAGCAAAGAAAACGTGCCCATTGATTGCATATGTCGTTGTACATCTACGAGTTACAGGATGGATCCTTTTTTTGGTCATTCTGTTCTGTTCATCACCAGCGTGCCTTCAGCTGGTTGTAAAAATGTGTGTCATTTCATATTTGCGCGTCCTTCATGTGCGCCTTTCTCTACACTCTCACCAGGATTTGATTGAAAATGTATCAAAACGAACAAAGCAAAGCCTCGCCGGGATGTGCCGTGTGTGGTAAATGTGCTGTTTGCCATGACATCAAGTGGGATGTGACCGTATCATTATGCTATTCCTCTCCGTTCCTCGACTCCATCAGTAATAGATTCCCTCCCTTGCAGTCTGAAAGAAAATTTATAAATGGGTTTCTTTGACTGTGGCAAAAATTACAGCATCAATGTCCTTGGCTTAGCAGGCTACAAAGAAAAAAAAAAAAGTCCAAAGGAAATAAAAGAACATAAAATAAATCAAATTCTTTGATGAACATAACCCAGATTATAAAGCACATCCTCTGAACAGAGACTGATTTAAAGGTAAAAGTGCTGACATAAAATATGTTTAGGCTAATGTTTCAATCAATAACATGGTCCCGGCCCCGTACGATTTTATCGGAGAGTGGCAGCAAAGTTCCAAGATTGAACAGAAGACTAAATTATAACCGAAGGCCCAATCACTTTCCCCATCCAATCCATACCAGGTTGGCAGATGAGACCAAAGATAAGGCTTTGCTTTCATCCTGAATTTGTTACTGCACTTTAAAATGCAATTGCATGTCTCCATGCCAATGAATATAGCGGCCCTCCCCAGTCAAGCCTCTTTCTTTGATGTAATATCGTCTCATGTTGTGAGGGCGGTTATATGTGAGAAGTGAAATGGGTAATATGACAGATGTTATTCTTCATCTCTCTATAGGGACAAAGATAAACACACTTAAGGCAGCTCTGTGAGAGTGCGCATACTCTGTGTGTTTGTGCGCGCGCGTGTGAAATAATATTTCTTTGTGTTGCTGTGTTTCCGAGATAATTTGATGTCTTTCTGCCAGCTGCTTCCCTTTGAGATGCGCATATAGATGAGATCATATAGAACATTTATATTTATATATAGAGTTTTCTACAAAGTCGCATGTTCAGTCTCAATCAGAGTATCCAATTTTTGGACGATGCTGTGACAGGTTGCCATCTTTCAGACCATGCTCAGAGTACAGTGAATCGTGAGATCCGTTGACAAATTGCAGGTTTGTGAATAACAGGCAGTCTTCGCGCAGTCAGCTGCAACAGAGTAAACACCTAAGTATCTGGTAAACATATATTTTGCCAATTTTGGCTACCTGTGAGGTAAAGGATTCACTTTAAATACCTTTAGTTCACATATAAATGCTTGCATGGGCTTTTCCTTGAGTATTTGCAGAGATATTACAGTTTTATATCCCTTGTTGAATACTTAGACAAGCTGATCAGCAGCTGTTAATAGTCCCAGACTGGTTTCTACAGCCTCGCAGCTGCAGCTCTGAAACACTAAAACACTTCAGGTCAGGTTGTTTGCTTCTCTAATAGCTTTCAAAGCTCACCTTTGCTCTTTAGCCTTTTCACCACTGTCATTCTGTGAACAGTATAAGATGTTAGCTTTAGATATTTAGAATTATGTTTTAATCATGTTCTATATTTTTAATTATTTTCTCTTATTGTTGACCGAACTTCTCCATTGTTTTAGTGATTGTTGTGTAGCATTTTAGTGAGCATCCATACAAGAGCAGTCTTCTGTGGGTCATCTTAATAGAAAGCAACATGTTGAAAAAATGCATGTGTTGGTGTCACGCCATTATTCAGCTGATGCTCTGCAGCCTTTATCAAGCAAAGGAAACATGACTGAAGATTTGTGAATTAATACTACAGAAATACAAATAGTCTAAATAGTAGCATAAGGCTACTCTAATGCACTTACACTTAAAGGAAAATTTGTGAAACTTTAATAATCAGCCTGTTTACAGCAGTTGTGTGGCATCCTCTGTGAGAAACTGGCAACACTGACAAGGAAGAAAAACCTAAGAATCCTTTTTCTTCTGGATATTTTTGCCCCTAATTGATTTGAACATTATTTGTTAAATCTGTAAACTGGAAGAGATCCATTCAGCACTAAAAATCACCAAGGTGCCCATGAAAAGTGCTGCTCTTCTCAGAAATCCAGTGAGGAATGTAATTCTCACAGTATTTCTTTTACTTGGTGTTAAAGCTACAAACTGCGCAAAAAAAGAGATAAATACAAACTGAACTGGCCCTACGGTACCAGCTCTGCTGCTTGTTATATTATCATCAGGCTTTTGTAGAATAATAAAATTCATACTCATGTTTGTGTACCACTGCAGTAAGAGTGAGTAATAGCTCATAACAAAAAGTGGCCATGATACAATATATTTGTCCACAATGTTGGCTACAAGGCTATTATGTATTTCCTTTGAGGGAATGCAAAAAGATCCCGGTTGTTGAAATACTCGAAAAAAGCGTGAAATCACAGATGGAGGGAAAGTAGCTACATAAAAAGAAAAAAAAAAAGATTTACCACTGCATGTTATTATGCAATCACAGAGAACATCCCAAAATAAAAGCTTGATGCCGCTCTTAAAAGATTAATCACACACTGGGGTTTTTTTCTATTAAAACTAGATTCACTGTTTAAACCAGAGAGAAAGACAATGCTGTGGTAAAACTTTCAAACAACACAAAAAGCTCGTGTACAGTCCTCCACAGGTCCCAGTGGGTGCAGCAGGGTCTTGTATCTGGTTTCTTTACACTTGAGTGGTCAGGATGTCTATCAGTGGCTTCCAGTGAGATCTCACAATGTTTTTAGTCCCAGAGGGGAACCAGTCATTACTCCGCAGACCATATCCGAGCTCACAGAGCAGTTGTTGGAGTGCGGTTGAAGTGTCTTTTATTGACTTAATGATCACTTTGGGCTTGAACCAGTCAGTGTAAGAGTCACCTGCAGGTTAAATAGCTCACATTCAATCTTAGTGATTTCTGGATTTATGCTGAAACCTCAGTCAGGCATTCTCCATGTAAATAATCCTCATCAAAATGCACTTTTTTTTTTTTTACATAATGCTAACATTACTAATTTAGACTAAAAGAAAGAACAGTACAGGATAGTTTCATTATAGCAGGACAATTATAAAGATGCCAAACATATGCCACAGCCAAAGTCAGATGTGGTGTAAAGAATTGGTGCCAGTTCGTTGTTTACTAGGTGTGGGTGTTCTAATCTGCTAATTGTAATGCAGGAAATAAAATCAAAATAGAAATGCATGGAAATCAATACTAAAATGCTATGTTAATCCATTCAATACTTGTCAAGTCATCTCAGAAAAGCCCAGAGTGTGACTCTGCAGTGGATATTAGAGGAACAGTCAGGAAATTGCAACATAAGTTGGCATGAAAAGGGTTTAAAAATCTATGCAGCAATATTCCCATCCCTGCAGAGTGGTGACATAAACATAGTTGAAAATAAACACTAATATATATATAGGCTGCTGTACAAATGCATGAGTCATCTTTATGCTTGCATTATTTTTTATGTGTTTTTTTTTGCTTGCCTTACAAATTTCAAGCTAAACTTAATCACACAGCTCTATGACAGGACTCCGGTAAAGAATGAAGTACAAGTCAGAAAGTAATCCTTCTCAAAGCTTGACAAGCTGACACTCCCCTCAAAAGTGAAGGAGAGAACACTTTATATCAATGCATCTGGGTTCTCCTCAGTCACTAAATATGTCTCCTGTGCAGCCACAGCACTGAACTGTGTCTGAATGTTCTGAATATTAAATATTACAGAACTACAGGGGGAGGAAAGAGACAACAGCCTTCAGTGGGAAGAAAGAGAACAGAGGAAAAGAGCATTTAGCTGGCAGTGTAAAGTGACGTAAGATGCAACTTCTTTAAAAAGTGTCACCGACTCTAAGAGACCCTGACAAGCCTCATTTATACCACAGTACTGTAAGACAGAGCCAAAAAGGACTGAGTAATGAGAGTAATGGATGCAGGGAGTACATGGTTTGTACTCCCAGTTGTAGTTTTCAAATCACAGCTTGCTATTTATGCTGTAAAAAAGAAATAAGTAACATAGCTATAAGTAAGGTATTTACATTTTTTCATCAAGTTAATGATGAAAAAAAATGATTGTAATTTATTATGTTTTGACTACTTTTGAAATGGGCAGTAAAGCCGAAAAGTCCTAAAACACACATTTAAACCAGAAAAAGCCAAAAATACAGCTGAGAGTCAAGCAGTCACAAAGCATTTGGTAGTCAGTTGGTTGTGGGCACTGATTTAAATGGCAGATGAGTGAGTTCAAATTCAAAAAAGGAAGAAAAACAAAAATGGGGCGCTGTCTACCCAAGCCTCATCCCAAGGGCTTTGCTGATTGGCACTGTCAGGAAATAAGAGAATATATGACAAGTTTGAGGCTAGATTTGATCAAGCAGAGGGACATACTGACCTAAGAGGTTATTATGTTGTGAGCTATATCTGTCAACACACAGCATAAAAGATGGATGTAGCTAGCCTGACACCACCCACTGGTTTCTGAAGTCATGTTTGAAAGACCTTTCCACCGTGACCATTTTGGCTGCAAGATATCCACACACTCATTGGCTAACAACACATGTCATGGCACAAATAATCCTCGCATTTGAACACATGGCCAAGGTTTCCAAAAAATACTTATTATTTTTATTTTTTGTTCAGTATGAACTAAAATGAGTCACTGAGCCCATTTTTAATTTATTTTTTAACCACAGCTATCGCCATCTGATGGCCTTCACACAGACGGCGGGTTTAAGGTACTTCCACATTGGCTTAATTTTTATGACTCGAAAGCCACGCCTATGCTTAATACTGTCTGTGGTTCAATCATTCACCTGACTATGGTAGACTGGCAGAAGGAGAAAAAGACGAGGGCTTTGAAAATGCTGTCTGTCTCTCAGTTATTTCGA